GTGGTCCCATTACAGTTTCTGGATTAACCTGCTTTCCCCTAGCATACTTGAAATGCAACTTAATCTTCCCCCAGTTTAAAAGATGCTTACGATTCAACTCAAGAGGAGGGCTCATCTGGATCCAGTCACACTCCATCAACCAGAGGACTTTCTCTTTCTCCTTGTCAGCAAATTGAGTGTTTCACACTTAACTCCATTGCTGCAAACTCTGTATCCAAGGCTACATTAATCTGAGACTCTTACTATGTTTCTGTGTCTTTAATACATTAAGGTCCTATTTGAGTTATTGACCAGAAGTAGACAAGTGATCAGCAAATAATTAATCAGGATCCCCTCTCCTGTTTTTATAAAAATGGAAATGTATTACATTAGGAAGACTTTGTAAATGGAAATGGTTGATCTTTGTAAATACTGACCCACATCCTTTCCCTCTCTGATATCCTTTGTGCGTGTTCCATTCCAGTACAGTTTCTCCTGGCAATACCCTGGATGCATCCAGCTCACTGGCCATTACACAGAATTCTATCAAAGTCACCACAATAAAGGACATGCCTTAAGTATTTGTCTTCTGGAATGTTCATACGAATGAGAATCTCAGTTGCTGACAACGCTGAACAAATGAGGCCTTGCTGTGGTTACGGGTGGCTGTGTTCTCTCCGTAACTTTGTAGGATCACCTTTACTTTTCCACACAGAAGCCAGAGCTCTCCAGAGCCATATCAATGACAGTACCTCCTCACACCCACCAGGCCGAGTAGCTTACTGTCTCACTGCTACATCTGCTCTTATCTCCATTTTGTCCTTAAAACTTATCCCTCTATCTACTTTGATGTCAACAGGCTTTTAACTACACAGGGCTGAGCACTCCATCCGCTGATGGTCTGCATTAAAGTGCCCATCACCCTTCCTGCTCATGTGCCCTCCCTTCCCCGTCTCCTATAAAGCTGACATTTCCTGGGTCTTCATGATCACAGTTCTCCTGCCCATTCCCTTGGCTCTCTAGGTCCTTTTTTCTCTGTCAAGAGTGCTCAAAGAAACTCACTTAATCTCTTCCTATGCAATACCAGAAGCCAGATCTGCCAGGAGAGAAACACAAATGCTGTGATCTTACTTTACCCTCATGACCAACCAGGTATTCAAGGGAGCTCCCCTACGGCATGGATAATCTATTTATTCACCCTCTCAATATCTTAGAACATTATTTCAGTCTTTCTTCCTTCTTATCCAACCTTTCCCAACTCCCACCTCTGCCTGTCAGCTGTCCTGCATCTGAGCAGGTATTTGCTGCACGGGCTCCCGTCTCCACCTGCCGCCTGCTCTGTGTGACTCCAGCAATTACAAGGTCTCTTTCTGCATCATCTTTCCTTCTTCACAGAATAATTCCCCATCAGCATATGGACATGTTAAACTCCCCTGACTTAAAGATAGCCTATTCTAACTCCATGTCCTCCCTCCCTAGCCACGGCCCCATTTCTCAGCACCCACTTTGTGAGGAAATTCCAAATAAAAGTTATCTCTTCTTGTTGTCTTTATATCTGCTTCTCCCCATTCTCTCTTAAATACTCCCAAGAAGACTTGTATCTTCACCGGTCCCCCAAAACCATTATTGTCACCAAATGCTTTTCACTACCCATGGCCAAAGCACTATCATCAGTTGCCTGAGTTTCTCATTCATCTATTTCTGATCTCACTCCCTAAAGTCTGTGTTCCAATCAGCAGTCAGACTGGTCCAAGCAAGGTGTACTCATGGTGTGCCTCCTCTCTTCTCTCTTCCACCAGCTTCCACCTGGCAAGAAGCCGGGGATCCACATCTCTGGCTCCCCAAGCCTCTTCCTTCACTTCCCTGCAGCCTTACCAGTCTCCTTGCTGCTCTGTGAATACCCAGGGTCATTGCCGGCCCCCCCCCTTCATCTGGAATGCTCCCTTCCCAGATCACTCTGTGTGGTTTGTTCTCTCATTTTCATCCAGTATTTTTCCAAATGCCAGTTTGACAAAGAAGCTCCCCATCTAAAATAGCATCTCAACTCAACCCTGGCTCAGCTTCCTTTTTCCCTTAGGGTACCACAGCATTTTATATTTATTTACTTCACATATTCCTTGCTAGAACATAAGCCCCTGAAAGGAGGGAGTTTGCTAGAACAGTGCCTGCTACATAAAGGGGACTCAATAAACACTTGCTGACTGGGATGTATCACACAGATACATTTTCATTACTACGAAGACACAACTATGACATTTATTATAATGTTGTTTGTGAAAATAAGTGGAAAAAACTAAATTTGCATGATTGGGAGGCTAAATGCATTTGGGGATATTCTTAAAATAGAACTTCAGCCATCAGAAGGGTGAAGTCATGATTCCAATTTGGTACGAAGTCAAAACAAATCACTCCTTGCATACTTCATATGTTTTCATATGCATAAGAGGATATTTAGAAGGAAGTACATCAAGATCTGCCTCCAAAGAACAGGATTTCAGGGAAAATGAGAGATTTTTATTTTATATCATTTTATTTAAATTGCATTAACCCACATTACTTTTATAATCTAAATTAAAATATCTTACAGAAAGAAAAAAGATACCAGTGACACTGTTGTTTATTGATATTATTATCTATGGGTCTACATAAAAGGTAGGAAAGCAAAAGGGGGAAACGATGGAAATCTGGCATGCTTTCAGCAAAGAAGAAACAGAGCAAAATTTGTTCGAAAGGGAGTAAGCAATATAATTAGCAGTATATTTTATTTTTTGAGCACCTACTAAGGGAAAGGTGCTGTCCTTAACTTCAGGTGGCATGAATTCTCTCTACTTCTCAGAGCAAACTTGCAAGTTAGGTTTTCAGCTGTACAGATGATAAACATGAGGCTCAAAGAAATGGTTGCTCATAAGCCCCCAGTTAAGATCAGAAGCATTGGAGCTGGGATTCAAATCTATCGCACCCCTTCTCACATAAAGGAGCCCCTTAGGCTGGGGGCAGGATGGTAGAAGGGAAACCCTGGAACTAGAGATTACAAACCCAGTGGTGGGTTCCTAAACAACCCAGAGTGACGCATAGAAGCCACATAAACCGTGTATTCTCTCTGTGCTAACAAATGGCTCCAACCTGACTTTGGTGGGAGTGGTAGGAGTAGTGGAGGGTGGACAAAAGAATGTCAAATGCCTGTTTGTGCTCTTCGAAGTGGATGATCACAAAGGAAAGAGTGTAGTTTTTCCAGGACTTTCAAACTCAACCATTAGGGGTTGTAGAATCCCAGCAGCTCAAAGGAACCCAAATACCCTGTTTAGGATTCTACATAGCTGGGAAGAGTGGCATGAAATGACATTGAGAACCAGGATTCTTTTCCCTCCTGGGATGGCAGTGTCTCAGGGAGTAGGCAGGTGCCAGAAGGAAGCATAGTGAGACAGTAATAGTAGCTGCCATTTGGTGAGGATCCACTAGATGCCAGGAACTTTGCAAACATTGGTTTTTATCCTCAGAACCTGAATAAGTGAATGAATATGGCCACCCCTATTTTATAGAAGAGGAAACAGATGAAAGGAGGTAAATCATTTACCCAAATGTACACAATTAGTGGTTAGCAAAGTTAGGCTGTGAGGTCACTATTGTGACTTCCAAACTCATGCTCTTTCCAAGACACCAAATTGCCTCCCGCATGAGAGTATGCCATGTGGAAGGTACTCCGTGCCCAGAGCTGAACAATGGACAAGTAGGATTTGGATGAGCATCAGGCATTGGGTGATATAGAGGCAAAGCTGTACTCATGATAAAGGTAAGGTCCTGGGAAATGGAAAAGAACAGTATTGGGAACATGTTGGAGGAGGCAGGTCTGGGCCAAGGAGGAAACAATCCCCATGGCTTTGCCTCCTTGCCTTTAAATGGGAGTAGAATATCCAAGTGTACACAGTGAAAAATAATTTTCGGCTGGAAGCCTGCCATGACTGGCTTGGCTTTGCCAAAGGGATCTGATTAGTATTCCTGAACTTTCATTAGCATGTGAAGGAAATACCCAAATGACACAAAGCCAATTCTAGTCGCTGAGATTTAACATTTTAACCCAATTTCTCTAATGCAGTTAACCTGTGATAAAATGCTGGCTTGGCATCTCCTTTTCTTAAAACTATTTTAGGCCTCAACAAGCAAACAATTTATACAAGCACCTTCACAGTCACCTCTGCCAACCCTGGCCATCGGATATGCCTCCTTGTAGAGTGAATTTACATCATTTGCTGCTGGGGTAGAAAACGGGGAGTATTTTTCCCAGCCTTGGCTGGACCACAGCCAAGGTTGTAAGTGCAAATCCCTTTACAAGATCTCCCTGTAATGGCCCCTTGTGTGACACAATCCTACCCCAGAGAGCAGCATTTTATTGCATCCTTTGTTGCAGGTTTTCCATTTTAGGGAGAACTGATAGCGATACTAAGTATAAACACATTCTCTGCCAGTCAAATTCTGTGGCTAGGTTTTAAAAAAGGAGCTGGGAAGACTTGTGGCCAGCAATAATATTTATATTGAAACTTATGGCTCTTGCCTCACAGGGTGAGGGCAATGGCGGTCAAGAAAGGAATTCCCTTCCCCATATGCAAGTCTTCTCATGTGTCTCAAGAAAGCAAGGGAGTATTCTGAGCTCAGAGTAAATCCTGCAGTACTTTCTCAGTTGCTCAAGATCAGGATCAACCCTTAATTCCAGGACAATCTGTTCACAAATTTTTCCAAACTGTATTTTTTGCTTTCCTCAACTCTGTCAAAGGCTTAGGGGCATTTCTGTCCAGCTCTTGACTCACTGACCTTAGGAAAGAGTAGAACTTCCTTTGCATTAGGAAAAGAAAATTATAGAAGGTCTCGTTCAGCAAGACATCTAAAAATCATTGTTTTTCCAGTTAAATGTCACAAAAGGGTGGTTCGATTATAGTGCTCTGTTAGGAAATAAAAATCAATGCTTCAACTTTTTGATTATAGTAAATGAAATCTAAAAATTAAAAAACAAGTAATTACTCCAGGGCTGTGACTCCTGAGGGTTTTTTACCCCCTTTATTAACGTTTAATGAACATTAGGTTCAGGAGCATTAGAATACAATATGAGAAAATCAGTATGAACCCACAGGAGAAGGGAAAGAAACCAGTAAGCTTATTCTTGTTTCTATGTACGTACCCTAATACAATGATGGCTATGGAAAAGGTTCTCAACTTTTCAAAGGTTTCTAGTTCAAAATTGATTTCTACTTTGGGTCTATGAGGAAAGTAATCTGCAAGGTACTTGCCATGTTGAGACTTTAAAAATGACATGGAGCCTTATAACTCCTATGCCGTAGAATTTTTTTTTTTAAGTTTAGAGGGACACAATGAAGTAGCCTTAGGCTGAGAGGAGGAGGGATTCATGTTTTATAAAATACCACCATTCCCAACACCCTCACACACCCTTAAGGCTACCTGGGTTAGAAATCAGTAGAAAGAAATATCTGTTTGCAAAGACTTCTTGGGATACACAGTTTAGCAGACCACTTTTTTTTTAGAACAAGTTGATTTTGTGCATTTTACAAATCTGTTTCACTGAAGTTTCTTTCATCAGGGTTAAATCGTACTTTTGTTTTATAATCTGACTTCTAGAAAACTCTGATTTGAGGTAAAAATATATATTTTTTTAGCCTGAGAGTAAAATTCAGCAGCATACAAGATATTATGTGATATAATCATGTGTGTGCACGTGCGCATGTGCCCACATTTTCCTGTTGTTTTTTTAAAAAAATTTTTTCCTGGTGTTTTCAGAAAGAACATTATTCTGGAATGTAAAAACAGCCTTGAAAAATAGAGAGATTAGGGATTTCTCTGTCCTCCACAGAAGTGTCACGTTTCCATGGTGATGAAACCAGCACTTGATACTGGATTAACCAAGGTGATTCTGGGCTTCCTGTTTCCTCATTCCATGTACCTGGGAGACACACAGAAGAAAAGGGGAGAATGAGGGACATGTGAGACAGGTGGAAGGAAAACTGCCAGAATGCTTTGGATTTGTTCTGGTGAATGCCATAAAATGATCTATCCAATGTTCATCATTTTGTATAGCACCACTATTAAGTAAGTGATTTTCTACTTTGAACAATACCTTTAGGGTAAACTTTACAAAATATGAAAGATCAAATGAAACTTCAAAGCACCTCCCTTCACCCAAGCAGTTTTTATTGCCATCTAAATAAACTAAATTAAGGGAAACCCTACCTTACTCACTCTCTTGAGATATACAACTCGAAACTCCTGGCATCCACTCCCATATTTGAATTCCCCACAACTGTACCACCTAATCATATAACTTACCAAAGCAGTTTTTGAACCCACCTCCTCAGCAAAACCTCATCAATCAAGGTGGAGATAATTCTGGACTGGGGAGGGCTGTGCTCTTTGTACTTTACCTCCTGTTATGGTTTAAATGTGAAGTGTCCCCCCAAAAGCTCATGTGTGAGAAAATGCAGGAATATTCAGAGGGTCATTAGATTACAAGAGCTGTAACCTAATCAGTGGATTAGTCCACTTGATGGATTCATAATTTTAATGAATTAACGGGGAGTAACTCTAGGCAGGTAGGGTGTGGCTGGAGGAAGTAGGTCACTGGGGATGCGCTCTTGGGGATATTACGCCTGGCTCCTTGCACTCAGGATCTCTGCTTCTTGGTTGCCATGAACTGAGCAGTTTTTCTTTGCCACACCCTCCACCATAAAGTTCTGCTTCACGGAGGGCCCAGAGATACACAGTTGGCTGACCATGGACTGAACCTCTGAAACTGTAAGCCAAAACCAACTTTTCCTCCTCTGAGTTGTTCTTATTGGTATATTGGTCACATTACACAAAGCAGACTGAACATGGTCTCCAGCCTTTACCACATCATTGAGTAGCATGTTATAAATGTATCAGTGGCTTCTAAAACATAGCTGTGCATCAGAATTACCCCTTGCAGAGTACTGCACTCTATTCCATGACTCTGGAGTGAGGAGCTCTGGGAGAGGATGCCAAAATGCACAGTTTTACTAAATGTCAGGTTTGCAAGTCAGTGAAGTATAGGTTTGGTTTGTTTCTACTGCTTTTCTGTCCCCTATGGTTTTCTGCGTCTGTTTAAGTGCATGGGATGCGTTTAAGTAGGATAATTATATACCTGCTAATACATCTGATAGGGTTTGTTAAAATGCAGGTTCCCAGGTACCACCCAGCCAAATGGACCAAATCTGACTCTGTGGGGTATGGCCTGGGAATCTGAATTTAAACAAGTTCCCCCATCCCTGTGCAAGTTATTCCCCCGTACAAAAGAGCCATTGCTCGTTCAGGAGTCAAACTGGAATCTCTGCAGGGACCAGGCAGGCACTTCAATGAATAAGGAAGACTGTGAAGAGTGATCAAAGGAAAACTGATATCCCACGTAAAAGGGTAGGCACTTCCTCGATCAAGCAATTTTGCCTAAGCTTTGAGTTTTTCAAAAGCTAGAAATAAGGAGAAATTTAATTTCTCATGATTAAAAAACAACCAGTTAAAAAAAAAAAGTGGCCTCTGGCAATTTGTGCTCTCTGACTTTGAGGTTTCACCCATGTACCTCAGATCTCTGGTAATTGGCAATGTTTTATGTCATTAGGAGCCTGACCAAGTGACCTCTTATGCTGAATTATACAGTATAACCACAAGGTGACCAGGTCCTAAGGATCATCTGGGACACTCCTACCATGTAATGTTTGAATTCCCCTTGCAGTACTGATGATACACCAACCCTCTCATCTCTCATCCAGATCTCCTGCCTGCACTACATGTATCTGAATGTATTTTGGCTACCTCCACTGGAATATTCTACCACTACCTCAAATGCAACACATTCACAAATAAAATTGTCATCTTCTAGTGCCATTCCTCCAAGTGCTTTTAGCCTTATGTTCTCTCAGTGAACAGCAATACTATCCACCAAAGCCAGAAACATGGGTGTCCATCTTAGTCCTCAACCCCTCCTCACAGCCCCTATACTGGAGATCTACCAAGTCTTGCTAAGTCTGCCTCCACCAGTGTGAAACCTGTAACCATCACCTAATCTAGTTAAGCTTCTTGCACGTTTTTCATTGTGAAAATTGCACACACACTGTCTCATGGCCTCCAATTTGATTTTACAAAGAAAATCCTGGTCTTTGTCTAAGGGCTGGGACTCCACTAACCTTTCCTCTTTGGCTGAGAGTTGAGATTACTGAGAAGAGCCTAGTTTATTAAAAATGAAATTCTGCAACCTAGAAAAGAATTTGAACACTTGCATGAAATTGAGGATCATGGAACTGGCCTTGAAAATACAATGTAGCTTTAATAATCAATCTTGTAGATTTCTTTTCATGTGAAAGGAAAAAGGGGACCAACATACAGTCAGATAGCTATGAGGGTAACACACTCTAGGTCATCTGTTGAAGAATTCTTGGCTGTAGGCATCTCCCACTTCACGTGTAGATCTAGAGAAACTCCCACCAAAGCAAAAGCCCCAGTAGCAATTCGACTAGCTGGGGTCATGGCAGTGCTCCCAGTGCCTAGAATACTTCAGCAGGTTCTCTTCCAATTCAAAGCAATAACAGGCAAGAATGTGAAGGGTAGCCACCCACTTGTAGTAATAAGCATAGAACCTTAGGAACTTTCAAGTTCTTTCATAGTTATGTCAAACATCTACAGATTCAATCCTCTTATACAATCATGTTACACAATTTAACATGAAAATTATGCCTAAGTAATTAAGCTTTTCAAATTACAAAAATCCAGTGAAATCAAGTTCCTTACATAGGAATTATATAGGACTAAAAAGGGAACACATTTATGAAATAAGACAAAAGGAATTTTCAGGATCAGAACTGAATGCTTTAATAAAACTTACACATAAGAACTCTTGGGTGAAATATAAAACAAATATTTTTCTCCCCTTATTTTCAACAGATTTTTCCTAATGCAGAGATCTGAAACTAAAGATCCAGAAAGAAAATCTTGCCTAATGTTAGCTATCTTTGTAGGCAAAGGTAGACACATCAATTTATTCATTAGTGGTTAAGGAAGGAGGCAGACACTCTTTCAGAATCTCTCTAGATATCTTAGTTTGGATGATGGATAAAGAAGGAAACTCCTTAAAATGTCAAATCTAGAAAAGATACCATCTAGAAATAAGTGACAGCAATTCTTATTAAGTGATACTAAAATAAGAATCAAATTGTAGTATCTGTGCTCAGTGACACAGCAGTGTCAATGTACCTTTCCAATCTTATCCTCTTATCAAGTCCACATGGATCTTCTTTGTAATTTTTTTTTATAAATAGTGAAAAATTTTTTGACTGGAAAAAAAAATAAAAGAGTCTAGGTCACCTAGGCCATTTGTTCTTGAAGCTCTCTGGTTGGGGGAGATCCAAGTGTGTATGTGCCTGAGTGAAAGCCTGTGGCTACCACATTCACAGCCTGTCTATCTATCAGCAGAGGCTGTTAGCACATTTATCAGAAGCCAGACAATGCCAGCTCTTTTGATATTAGGTCTCTGGGTGTAGCTTTCAAAATTATTCTTTGTTCCACTCTTCCCGTATTGTCAAACTGTGCCCAGCAGGTGGTATACAGTGTGAATTTCAAACATGTACTCTTAATATGCCCAAAACTGATGCTGCAAAGAAAGGGAAAAACCCACATTAATTGAATCCTGCCCATTCTTTTTCATTATGTCACAAAGGTATTTTTGATGTCCTAAAACGATATAAAATAATTTGTAAAACCATGTGAAATCTTCAGGTGCTTAAAGCTACAGGTTTGAAAATATGTACTTGTTGTTATTAAAAGTAGTCGTTTTCTTACAATTCTGTAACAAAACCACATGGAGTAAGTAGGTGTCAACAACTTACAATGTTCTGGGCACTATGGCAAGTACCTATAGCCCCAGCTACTTGGAAGTCTGAGGTGGGAAGAGTGTTTTGAGTCCGAGAGTTGGAGACCAGACTGGACAATAAAGCAAGACCCTATCACAAATAAATAAATAATAATTTTGAAAACTTTTTTTACTTTTACCCTGATCTTCCTATTGAAATACTGATGATCATTTGCAACATAACTACATCCATGGATAACTCACGTTCTAATATTTCTTTGTAATTCTCTTTGGAATATTTTTCTCAAAATGTTTTTTTGGGAAGGTCACTATAATTCCCATTTTGTAGATGGCATATGGAGATAATAACAGCATCCACCCTCAAAGGATTGCTTGGGGGATTCTTTAAATCATCCACATTAAGAACATGAAGTATATGCCGCATTATCTATTGAGTTCTCAAAACATGTCTGATACTATTAATATGCAAAAGAATCAGCAACAATATTAAAGTTTTCAGAAGTCTCTTTTAAGCAGGTTAATTTTGTTTGGGTCTTTCACTAGACCTGGAAGTTCTTCTAAAAATAAAGGTTCTACAATTAACATATGCTAATCCATCTGTTTGGAATGTTCTTCCTCTCTTTTCTCCTGATTTGGAACCTCTTACCTGGATACTTCTTTGTCTTTAGAGCTTGGCTTGGGAGAACTTTTCAGGGGCAGGCAGACCTTCCCCTCTTTTGAGTCTAGATTATATTACATATATTGAGGTACTTTCCCTACATGTTCCAGGCTATATCACAACTGTCTGCTTCTTTGCTGCACCTCCATGACACTTCATGAGAGAAGGATCACATGTCTATTTTATATACTACCTTAGCACAACAGGTAAACATGATGCTAGAGCATAATGAATGTTCAACGATTATCTACTGCATTATATTTATTCTCTGAAATCTATTCTCAATGATCATCTATTGCATTATATCTATTCTCTGAGAGAGAAAGCTGCAGCCAGTTATGGAGTCAACTGAGGATGAGGATGGTGAAACAGGATGTGGCAACCTAGGAGCTTAGTAAAAGCAGAGGGCAAGAGCAATCAGCACCAGAGGACACCAGGTTCTATCTGGTCACTTAAGGCCAAAGTAGCAGAGACACACTCGAGATTCACTGATTTCTAGAAATTCAGATACCACCCCTGCAGCTTGGGAAATAAGAACCTGGGTCCACTGCACTGTTTTTTCATATATCAGGTAGAATGACTTAAAAACCAACAGAGCTCTAGATCCCAGTCGAAGAGCCAACTAGAGTACTGTGTGAGTACTAGTACTAATGTGAGTACTCTGCTGACCACAGTGAGTCCAGTCTGACTCACAGACTCCCAAAGACTTACCAGACAGTTGGGGTGTGTTGTACCCGTCTGGCCCAGCATGGAGTTGCAGTGCTGGGGAAGAAACTTTGAGATTTTTGGTACAGCTGACGGTAAATGAATTGAAATGCTCTGATTTGTTACGGCAGTTGCATCATAGGAAGGGATGACTTTAGAATAATATCTGACAGCATGGAAGGAATTGAGAGAGAGGGCTGCACTGGGAATTCTAGTTTTATACAGATCACCAATAGCAGCACTCTCTGAAGTGGAGCCTGATTGACCTGTAATAAGAAAAGAAACATCTGTTAATACTATATACACAATTCCATATCTCTAGATGACCATACCATATTTGAAATATATTATCCTGTTTCATTTCCTCACATTACATACTTGTACTGCTCATATGCTCAAATGCTGATGGAAAAGTGATATTTAATACAATATACACATTATAAATTAGTTTTCATGTGTCATGAAAAAAGATTTTAGAGGAGCAGCAAATTTCTGTGCTTCTTGGAATGTGTGTGTGTGCTTCTTGGAGGGTGTGTGTGTATGTATATATGTGTGTGTGTGTGTGTGTGTGTGTGTGTGTGTGTGTTTGGCTTTCATTATCATCGAAACTGGCCATCTCTATGAAGGAAGGAAGAATGTGGGAAAGAACAACTCCATTTATCCATTGATAAAGCTTAACTAATTTCTATAAATGAAGTGAGAAATAAAATCTCATACCACAGAAATATTTAAATATATAATGTTAACACTCTAATTTCAAGTAACACTGTGAATATCAATAATTTTGACATCAATAATAATGAAAGTGAAATAATGTTATATTTTATGTATAAATGCAAATGTACCTGGAATATTTGTGAAAATAATTAAAGCAAATGTGTACATAGATTAATGCAAAAGACAAGCTGATAAAGTCTAAACATATCTGTGTTACAGATTAGGCTTAGCATGAAGCCTTAGGGCCTTGGGTACCCATTTAGCTTCTACAGCCTTCAATTTTCTGACCTGGGTGGTAAAAGTGAAATTTGCAAGGATTAACTCACAGCAATTCTTCTGATCCTCTTTCAAAACTAATTTGGCAATATACATTAGGAGCTATATATATGTATACTCATGTTCTCTGTTCTCTAACTCATCCATGATATACTTCCAGGAAAGCAGCTCAAAGAGAAGCCCCAAATACAGAAAACCCTATATATGGGGAAGTATTTCCAATCATGTGATGTGTACAATTTCTCTGCCCCCGAATAGAAGGACTAAATATAGCAAGTGGAAGATGGCTAAGAAAATTACTCCATAAATCATTTGCTAAACTATTAAAACCATTAAGATGATGATGAAAGCTGTGTAACAATAGATTAACAGCATATATGATATGAAGTTAAGTAAAACAACGAGGAAACAAATGGGATGTTCAATATGTTTACTAGTATAGAAAAATATACCTAGAAAAAAGACTTGAAGAGAATATACACAAAATGAACACTTCTGAGCTTAGTCAGATTAGCACAGGATGTGTGCTGCTTTTCAAAAGGAAAAATATACACAAACAAAATAAAAATGGGGACTTGACTGATTGACCTTGCAGGTCTCCTCTGGTTTAAACATGCCGCAAGCCTCTGCTCCTAGTGAATTTGTGTCTTCCTAAGAGCAGTCTCTTTGGATGATGCAATACTGTGAGATGCAAGAAAGGCCTAAACTCTGCCATGAAAATGGTTCTTTAGATTTTCTGCACAATATAAACAGTACTGCAAGTACAAGAAATAACATTGACAGGGATACGCCTGTGGTCTGACCTCTATCTTATTTAATCTAGGCCAATTTAATGATGCCATGTCACATTCAGCCACAGGTACTATAAGCAATCTAACTGTGGCTCATGGTGACTTCCCCTGCTCCCTTCTCCTTCTCTATTCCCTAGTCCAGGAAAGAAGTCTAAATTGACCAAAAATACAAAACAAAATTAAAAAACAAACAAACAAAAACCACACCCTGAGGCTTCTCCAATTACATGAACAAGGAGGACTATTTTATTTTTGACCCCTTTTTCTTCTGATTTTAGACACCAATCCTAGGGACTTCTTTTGTTCCTTTGGTCCCCACTCTACCTCCATACATGCACACAGTACCTCTACTATAGCACTTAAAATACCGGGTGAACCATGATTTGCTTTTGTGATGTTCTCTGCCACTGATTTGCAAGCTCTATGAGGAAAAAAAGAAATGCATCTTGTTCATCTTGTGTGTCCTCATCATTGAGGCAGGGAAATTTAAGCTGAGAATTAAGGGACAGAATTGGAATAAATTGGAGAGTGCGAGGGGGAGACATTCTCAATACAAGGGAGGTGCTGAGAGCAGAATCTCTTGGAAGAAGTCAGCAGAAGGGTCACCTAAGACAAGCTAGTCAGAGAGAAAGGCAGTCTGGTTGCCCAGCATTCAACATTCAGGAGAGTAATTCCATGCCTTACTGGTTTCTCAACTGAGATTTATCTTCAGGAATACCAAAAGTCACAAATTAAATGTTGTGTTCTTTTTGTCTGGCTCTGTTCTTTCCCATCTTCTTATTTCTACAAGTACATGGGCAGGTATAGGTTTATATACCACATATAACACAAAGGCCTCCCAGTGGGCAATGAATGTTTGCATAATGAGCATTTATTGAGCACCTCCTGAGTGCTGGTAATTGTTCTAGGTATTAGAAATATGATCAATGAACAAAACAAGCAAAGACCAAAAGCAAAAAACCTCCCACCTCAAGAGTCAGCATTTTAATGGGAGAAGATAGGCAATAAATAAAACATGCAAGTAAAGACTATTAGCAGGTGGTGTTATGAAGACAAATCCAGTAAAACAAGTGAGTGAGGAGTCCCCTGCAACATGTATGGTGAGGAGGTATGTGCAGCTTTAACTGGGCAATTGAGAAGGACTCACTGAGAAGGCAATATTTAAGCAGAAATGTGAGGTGGTAAATACTATGTTAAATGCTCAGTACACAATAAGTAGTGAATCAATATGAATATAATCAGCCCTGTGAATCTATGGATTCCTCATCTAGGGATCAACCAACCATGGATTGAAAAAAAAAAATTTTAATTACATCTGTACTGAACATGCACAGACTATTTTTCTTGTCATTATTCCCTAAGTAACACAATATAACAACCATTTACATAGCATTTACATTGTATCAGGTATGTAAGTCACATAGAGAAGATTTCTTGTATGGGAGAGGAATACACATTCTATATGCAAATACCACGCCATTTTGCATAAAGGACTTGAGAATCCACAGAGTTTGGAATCTGCAGGTGGACCCAGAACAAATCCCCCATGGATACTGAGGGACAACTTTACTTCCCTTCCCTTTAGATTCTATTTATATAATGAACCAAATTATCAATGCGCTTATCATTGATGTGTTTTCTGGAAATTAAGGTCAACTTTGAACCCAAGTTCTGGGATAACACTATTTAAATGTCCACAGCCACCTTATGAACTTCAAGCTGACAATACCGGAAGGACTCATGGTGTAATCTTTCAGCTATGTTTGATCCCCTGGTCATGGGAGCAAAGGTACAGAAGCCCAGATGTGCAAAGGTTGTCCATGCAGGCCCCAGCATCCCATAAGCAACAAAGGCATTAGATGTGGCTCACCTCTCACAACTTGATCCAAGGAGTCCCCTGCAGTAGCAATGGAATACATATTCAAGCACTTGTTAGCCAGGAACTGGATCTCTCTCACAGGGGAGTAAGTGCTTGTCAACAGACTGTTTTCCCTTAAAAGGAAACAATAAATAACAGTTTTTATATCCCTCTAGAACTTGCTGAGTTCAAATGCTCTTTAACCAATCAAGTCCTAAAAAATCCTGACAGAACCTCACCTATGGACTATTTAAAATATGAGAACAAAGAGTTGAACAGGACCCAGGATGCTTCTCTAAAATGACTGGCTTTTCCTCTTTGTTTATGTATTCTAGTAAATCTAAATAAGTAAGCTATTGTTTGGTATGTCACATTTTGTACTAGGGAGTTCCTTTAAGGACTAACTGAAACAGGGCTGCATGCACCAGGGCCTTCAACCTCCTGGATGGAGGAGCATTAGAATCCATCATGCCCTTCCTGGGCTCCATAGTCACTATAGTCTGGGGCAGCCAACCTTATTTTAAAGTCCTTCAGTAACAAGAGGAAGAGTGAGAAGAATGATAAAACAGCCAGGAGCCTGAGAATATTACATGTGTTTATCACTATAATGAAATGATACACATCAGCAATAAGTACCTGAGTTCTCACTGTGGATGAATTCAATTCCTGTCTACACATCTGGCATCAGCATGGGAGGAAAACAACAAGCTGACTTTGGACTTGCAAGAGCCCTAATCATACCTTTGTGCCAAGACAGTGCCTGGGAGGGATAGCTGGATAGGCATTTGTTTCTTGCAAAACCTCCGATTGTTCTGAAGGGCTTCTGTAATCTGAAACATACAATGATTGACAGATAATGTTGGATAGACAATAGATATTTTTATACATATACAAAGACACATTGATTTCCAGTTTAAAAAATTGAAATAAAATTCTATAGCATTAAAGCATTGTCTATAAGGATAAAATTCAAAGCTTTAGGAGTTGAATACCTGGCCCATAATGGCTGGAGGGATTTTGTCCCGGATATATTTCACATAATCAACTGTTGCCTCAAGAATTGAAGCCGTGTCATTCTTTCTCCCCTTTATATACGGCAAGAGAGTACGCAGCTGCTCACAGCAATATTTGATTCGTTCTCTGATCAAAGAATTGCAGTAAATAAGGAATAATTAGTCTCGTTTGTTTCTTGCACACAAGGACAAACAATCCTTCCTTCCTTCCTTCTGGGTTTATTTGCAAAGGAATGGCCTATACTCCTTCCCATCTAGTCTGTTTCAGAGAAAGGACATGTCCCCACAAGACAGTGACATTCACAACTTCTGAAATCACAAACTCCCAGGCACCTGCTGCACAAGGAACTGCTGTCAAGGTCCAATGTCTGCACCTTGTACCCAGATCCCTCATCCTGGGCCTGTGCAGGGTGCACACACAATGGGGAAAACACATACTCTCACTGCCTACAGAAAACTACTGAACATTCTGCCCTCTGAGGAGAGAACCATGTACTCTGTGTATGTGTGGTCTTGTAAAGATACATATACACGCAAAAGGAGATATATATATATATATATCTCCTTTTGCAATTCACACTAAAAGTCAGCAGGCAAGAAGCAGTCAGCATTCTGATGTAACTGGGACTGGACCCTTCAACAATAGACCAATTAGAACCTTGTAACACATGGGCTTTACATGTAATTCTGTGGCCTGAGCCAAAGGAAAATGAGAAGATGATTTTCTTTCCATGAGGGAAGTATAGACAGAACAAATAAACCAATATGCAAATGAGAACAATGTGCAGGATAATATCAGAGGGAAACTAGATCTTTCAAAGTTCTGAAGGGAAATAGTCAGAAATGTAGATCTGATTTAATACCTTGAAGCCTTCATTCATCAGTGTGCTCATTTATGAAGTATTATTAAGCATCTGTTTGGGGCTGGATACAATGATGACATACAGGGTGACTGTGCTAATTACTAGCTAGGACTGTAGGCAAGTACTAAACTTCTCTGGGCCGTGGAATAACAGAGAAATGAAATTTTTAAAATGTAATCTGATATACAGTTAGTGGATAACAAATATTCTAGATGAGTGATATTTTCACTGGGCTTTGGGAATTCTAGGGTTTCTTCAGAGATGTCAGAAACCTTCATGAAAAGAAAAGGGTGGGAAAGTCAACAATTTATGTGACTGGATTTAAAACTTTTTATAACTTTTTTTAGTATTTTAAATTTTTTTCTTAGTTATAGATAGACACAGTACCTTTATGTTATTTATTTATTTTTATGTGGTGCTGAGGATCAAACCCAGTGCCCCACACATGAACCACAGCTGCAGCCCAAAAACTTTTTATAACTTTTGACATGGTACTTACAGGGATAATCTAAAACAAAACAAACTGTTTATAAAAAAGATAACTATTATGGAAGTACATGTTAGTAAAATATGGAAAACAGTCTAAACATAACATATAAGGATACCTTAGGCCAACTACAGTGCACTAGTTCAGTAGAATAACATTTGGCAGTGGAAGGGATATTTTATAAAGCTTATTGGAGAAAAAAACAGGATGCAAGACAGCATGTAGAATATAATCCCAGCCATTAAACAAAGCAAAAACGAAGCACAGAAAAAAAAAAAGACTGAAATAAATATATTAAGTAATAGTTATTTCTGGATGGCACTGCTATGGGTAATACTTCTTTTTTAAATTTTTTACACTTTCCAAATATTTTTGCTAGACATATGTCACTTTCATCATGAAAGATGCTTTTAAATATTTTCCCCAGTATTAAGTAGGAAAATGTTTGAACATACAGAAAAGTTGAAGAATCACACAAATACCTATGTACCCACTGCTTGGTGTTTAATTAATATTCACTGTATCTGCTTTAATCATACATATATCACCTCACTATTCATTCATACATCAACCAGTTTTATCACAGAAAAGCATTTCAAATTAGGTTGTAGACTTCAACCCTGAATGTATCAATTACCAAAGCTCAAATTACTTTATTTTCAGGTAAAAGTTATGTAAGATAAAATACACGAATCTTAAAGGTCACATTCTATGAATTTGGACAAGTACATACATCTGCACATCAGAAAAGCGCATCAACAGTCTCAGAACCCCAGAAAGTTCCCTTTGTTTTTTTCCAGTCATTGCTACCATCATTCCTGAAAGAGGCAACCACATTGCTGACTTTTTTTCCATCCCACATTACTTTTGCCTGTCCTCAAGCAGCACATAAATCAAATCAAATCTTTTTATAAGGATTCTTTTACTAGGCATGCTTTTGAGATTTTATCCATGTGGTTGCCTATATCAGAAAGAAGCCTGCTTCTTTTTGCTGAATAATAGTAATCTACAGTATCAATGTGCCACAGCATATGTATCCATTCCCTTGTTGATGAACACTTGGGCTGTTCCCAGTGTTTGGGTCATTATGAATAAAGTGGCTTGACCATTCTGTACATCTTTTTTTTTGTGAATGCATTTTTTTTTGTGAATGTATGTTCTTATTTCTCTTGACTAAACATCTAGGAATAGAAATGACAGGTCATTTTATAAATTTATAAAAAAACTAGAAGCACTTTTACCAAAGTAGTACCATTTGACACTCCCACCATCAATGGATCAGACTTGTTTCGTATCTTTTAGCAATATTCAAAATATCAGTAGTTTAAATTTGGGTCTTTCTACAAAATACATGGTAATATCTCATTATTCTTTAATTTTCACTTCCCTCACAACTAATGATGTTGAACAACTTTTTCCTGTGCTTATTGATCACTTTTATACCTTCCTTTGTAAAGTGCCTGTTCAAATATTTTACCTACATTTTAACAGGAATCCTGGGTATTATTATTATTAAGTCTTAGGGATTTTTTTCCCCTACCTTTGGTATTTGTCAAGCATATCTGTTTAGCAAATATGTTGTTTTTCTGTAGATGTTTTAGGACTTTATACAAAAATTATCATGACATCTACAAGTAAAAGGGCTTTGCTTCTTCCTAATTTTCACATCTGTTTCTTATTTTGTCAAATTACAATGGGTGGGACTGTCTATGTAGTGAAGAACTGAAATGATTAAGGATGGGCACACTTATCTTGTTTCTGATCTGTTTTAAACAGTCAAAATTTTAGCTATAAAGGAGGTTCTTTTCCACATGTACCTGCCAAGAGATTTTTTGTTTTATCAAGAAACAATAATCCTGTCAAGTTTTGTTTTGTTTTGTTTATGGTGGTGGGGACTGAACCAAGGGCCCCAGTACATGATAGGCAAGAAAGCACACATTCTGACCACGGAGTTGCACTGTAGCCCCAGCCCAAGTCACTTTTCTAAACCTGCTAACAACATGCTTTTTCTCCTTTATTCCTGCAAATGTGGTGGATTACATTGGTTGATTTTTTTTTTTTTTTTTTACAATTATACAAGTCTAGGATAAACTTGTGGTCATAATACATTATATCATTTTTTATTTAGTTTGCTAAAATTACGTTAATTATATTTGTGTCTATGTTCATGAGGGATACTGGTCTGTAATTTTTTTCTATAATATCTGTGTCAGACTTAGGATTATGCTAGCCTCATAAAATGGGTTAGGAGGTGTTCTCTACTTTCTTTACGAGTTTGTTTTAGATTGAAGTTGCTTCTTTAAATGAAAGTTGTTGGTAAAATCATCTGCACATGAAGTTTTTCTTTTTGGTAAGGTATCAGTAGTAACAAGTTCAATATCTTTAAGATTAGGCTATTCATGTTTTCTGCTTCACATCAGTTTTGTCAAAATGCTTAAGAATTTGTCCATTTCACCTAAGTTGTTCAATCAATTGGCATAACATAAACCACAGTGTTTCCTCTAAATTTTGCTTTGGCTGCATCTCACAAATTTTGATATATTCTATATATTCCCATAATCATTTGCTTTGAAATATTTTCTTTTATTTTCCTGTTGATTTTTTTCATCCATTCATAAATTATTTAGAACTTTGTTTCTGATTTCTAAGTAATTCAGGTTTCCCTTTAAGTTTTACTGATTTCTAACAATTTAATTGTGGTTAGATTACATACTTTTCATGAATTCAACTCTTCTTCAGTGAAATAAAACTTCTTATACCTTAGCACACAGTCTATGTAAAGTCAATGTTCTGCATGCCCACAAAAAGGAGAGAGGAGTGCTCTGCTGCAGTTGTTGGGAGTATTCTATAAATATCCATTACATCAAGGTGATTAAGAATGTTCACACCTTCTGTATCTTAATGATTTTTTTTTTTGGTATCTAGTTGTATAAATTGCAGAGAAAGGGATGTTAAATCTATAACAATTGTAAAATTGTCTATTTGTCCTTTTAATTTTGATCTAAATATTTTGACACTCTATTATAATCCATATTTATGATTTTTATCACTCTGATAAACTGACACATTTGTTATTATAAAATGTCTTTTTTTAATCTCAAATGACATTGCTTTTAAGTCTATTTAATTTTATATCAACATAGCCAATTTGATCGTATACTGTTTTCACAGGGTGTATTTCTCTATTAATTTATTATATCAGTATATTTAAAGTTTATTTATTATAGACAGCAGGGAGATGATTGTTTTTTGTTTTGATGTTTTATTTTGGTGGTACTGGAATTGAACCTAGGACTACATGCATGCCAGGCAAGTAGGCAAGTACTTTAACACAGAGCTATATCCCCAGGTATATTGGTCTTGATTTTTGTTTGTTTTGATTTATCCTGACAATCTCTGCCTATCAATTGGATAAATATCTTCCATTTTAATGTTTTTCCTGTATTTTTTTTGTTTTTGTTCTCTTTTCCTAGCTTCTATTCAAATATTTTTAAAACTCAAATTTTAATATTTAAAGTTTATTTGTCCTTTTTTTATTTTTATGTGCCCACCAAAATGAGAGAGGAGTGTGGCTTCTTATCTCACTAGAATTGTCCTAGGGATTACTATATGTATCTGAACTTTTAATAGTCTATTTAGAGTTAATATTTTATGACCACATAAAATATATAAATACTGCAGTCACATAAGGACATTTATCCCACTCACTCTTCACGTTATAATTTTCGTATCTACAACCTCTACAGACATTACAAACCCCACAATACAATTGTATAA